TTTTTTTTTTTTCTTTATCGCATCACTTTAGGTAAGAAGCTCCATCCTTAACCCAGACCGTTTGAGGGGGAAAGGTCTACCTTAAATCTGGGCCATACCTTCTGGTGGCCCACCTTCTATGTAAAGGCCATGGAAAAAGGGGTCCACTCTGCCTGCTTGCCCTCTCTGTAGCGTCAAGTGCATTCTTTCACTAGCATTAGAGCATACTGGTTCTGGATTCCAGGGTATACTGATGACCAGCTGAAACATCCAGCCTCAATGACAAAATAACTAGATCCTTAGACTCTCTGTCAGGGGAAGCCATTGTTAGAATAGTAGACCTGTAAGGCACCCCAATTAATCCTGTGTGTGTCTATTCTGTAAGTTGTTTCTCTAGAGAACTCTAATACAAGGAATCAAAACTATGATGAAATATAAAGCTATAAAGCTTCTGCAAGTATATTCTATCCCATATTATCATTTGAAGATACTAGCCTAATATATATATAATATCGTATACATTCATGTATAGTATATTAATATATATTAGGCTAATATCTTCATATACATGACTATATAAGTATATACATTAAATATACATGTATATGTATGTGTATTTATGTATATACATATACATGCCTAGTATATATATGTATATACTAGTATATATACTAAGAGTCTCCCCTGTTTATTGCTGAGTGCTATTCCATTGCATGAGTGCAACTCAGTTTATCCATCAACTTCTGGACAGGCATTTGGATGGGTTCCATCGTTTTGTAATTATGAAAGCTTCCAGCATATACTTTATGAAAATCTCTTTTGTGGAGACAGACTTTCACCACTCCTGGATAAACGTATAGGAGTGGTATCACTGGGTCATAGGTAGGTGTAATTTTGATTATAAAAAAAAATAAACCTGTCAGGAGCATAGATATATATGCATATATCTAAACAAATGTACCTGTCTGTGCCCACAGTATCACATGTAGAAAGGAGAACAAGGGTGAGAGTAGGTGATGAGAAAGAATTACACACAGATAAACGACACATAAGCTGTGAAAGAGGACATAAAGCTAGTTGCTTTTCTGGTATTAATTCTGTTGTGAAACTTTTATTTTTGATGGCAGATAAAAATATAACTTTGTTGGCATAAAAGATATTTGATAGTGAAAGTATGAACTGCAGCATCAAGTTCCACAGCTTCAGAACGGCTGTTCTAAGTGTGTAGAAGTTCACAGAGACGTGCAGACTCCCGAGTCTGTCCAATTTCACTGTGCGATTCAGTGTTTCGTTTCTAAGTTCTTTATAGTAAAGACTTAATTTAAAAATTTGAAAAACAAGCCTTCAGGAGTTGAGGGAAGCAAAAAAAATATTCAGAACACAAAAGGCGCAATCCATTCAAAAGATTCATAAATTGAACTTCAAAATTTAGAACTTCTCTTTAATAGGTACTTTTAAGAAAATAAAAAAAAATTAAGACATTTCTTGAAAGAACGTATCAGTGGACTATAGCTGATGGGGAGCTTGTGTCTGGGATAAAGAACTCTAAAGATTTCATTATATATAAATAAACAACTAGACTTAAAGAGATTTAAGTCTTAAGAGATACTTAAGAGATACTTCATAAAAAGATTCACAAACTTCAATATGTATACAAAAAGGTACTAGCCAAAAATTTGCATTATTTAACTATCAATTAAAAATATAATCTACCATTCCACATAGTAGGATTGCTGAAAAGTTTAGCTACTGACTGTACTGTGCTTTGGTGAGAATGTAAAACAGCTAGGGTCCCCACAGGCTGCTGCTGGGTCAAATGTGAAATGCAAAAACCATGGTGGAAGACTGTTGTCTGTTTTATTTTTTTATAGTCAAAATTACACCTACTCTATGAGCCAGTCATGCCACTCCTACACATCTATCCGGGAGCGGTGAAAGTCTGTCTCCACAAAGAAGATTTTCATCACGTCTGTGCTAGAAGCTTTCTTCATAATTGCCAAATGATGGAACCCATCCAGACGCCTGTCAGAAGTTGATGGATAAACTGAAATGCATTAGTGCGATGGAATAGTACTCAGCAATAAACAGGGGAGACTCCCAAAACATGCAAGAACATAGCTGACTCTCAGAAGCTTTATGCCAAGGGAAAGAAGCATATAGATTCTGAATGAATCCATCTGCTAAACATCTGGAGAACAAAACATTTTAGTAATAGAAAGGAAAGAAGCAGTGGTGGGGCAGGCCCAGGGACCATGAATAAACTTTTGGGGTGATGTAAATAACCCCTGTCTTGACTGTGGCGATGACTGACTGGTGGTATACATCTGTCAGAACTCCCTGAACTCCTCATGTCAAAAGGAGAAACACGCCTGTAATCCCAGCACTCAGGGAGGCAGAGGCAGGCAGATAGCTGTGAGTTTGGGGTCAGCCTGGTCTACAAAGCGAGTCCAGGACAGCTAAGGCTACACAGAGAAACCCTATCTCAAAAAACAGAACAAAAAAGGAGAAACATTTCACTGTGTATAAATTATGCATCAATTTTTAAAAAGCTTTAGGGTTTAATTTAAATAGTTGTTATTATCTTATGTTTCTGTGTGTGTGTGTGTGATGGAAGGGGTGTGCTCATGCCACTGCCTGCATGTACAGGTCAGAGGATAACTTTGTGGGGTCAGTTCCTTCCTCCACATTTTTATAGGTTCCAGGGATGTAAGCAAGGTCTCCAGTTTAGCACAGAGCTTTCATTCGTTGGGCTAGGGTTTCATTTTGAATATTTAAGGGGGGAAAAATCTACAATAATCTGCCTAAAAAACTCACTAGGATGACAAAATTTTAAGTCCTTCAATGCCAATGTGGACAAAGGATGAAGAGCTACAGGAATGCAAGCTGGGTGCTCGGCATGAGAGCTCTGAGTTATCTTGGTAGAGGACTTGCTTCTAGGGATCAAGTAAGGAAAGCAAAAAAAAAGAATACAGGATGAGGATAAGGAGTTAAGGTATAGACAAGGGCGAATCTAGGTGGGTGCTCTGGAGTGAGGAAGGCCCACTGAAGACAGCCGAATGTGGTCCACAGTGGCCAAGCCTGTTAGCCTCCCTCCACACAGCCATCATGTGTTGGGAAGCTGCAAAGGCAGCTGTCCTTGAAAGAGCTGAGTTGGCAATACAACTTGAGAACCACCACACAAGCACACACACACTTCAGTGACAATGACACAATCCTGTGGGTACAGCGTGGCAAAGCGGGAGGTGTGAGTGCCCTATGAGCCAGCATTCTGCTCCTGAGAGTGTCGCCTACTGAGATGAGCGACCATTTCATGCTATAAACCACTCAAAAGTTCACCGTGTGCCAACAAAATCACCATCTAATACATGCACAGAACTGGGCATGTCATGTGTTGATAGAAAGCAACAATCAAGAACATGAATAAGCCTCAGGTTTTGGTCTAATTTTTTATAGTTATAACAGAATCTCCAAGATTGGGTAATCTACAAAGAAATGAGGTTTATTTTGGCTTATAATTTCAGAGGCCAGTAAGCTTTTGATCTAGAAGACTCATGATCCTTGTGAGGGCTCTAGGAAGAAGAGCTGGAGGGAGGGGGCAGCCTCTCTGATAGCTTACTGAGTCTT